CTGGCCTCCTTTTCCCCACACCTGGCTTGGAATGTCCATGGGGAAGGGGGGATCTTGGGCTCCCCTTCCTGAGTGTGTGGCTTTATTTCATAGATGCTTGCTGGGCTGTAGACTGGGTGTAAACACGGTGCTGCCATGTCCTCGCTGTGTGAGCTTGGGCAGGCCACCTTACCCTCTCTAAGCCTCATTATCCTGATCTATAAAATGAGTCTAATACTAGATCCTTACACCACTCAGGGCTATCATGAGACTTAAGTGAGATCACCCACGCAAAGTTCTTGGCACAGTGCCTGGCATGCAGTAAAGATTTAGCCAATGCCACAGTTATTTGCTCTCTCGCGAGCTCCTACTATGTGCAAGGCAGGGTGAGGATGGGACTGATTAGGACTGGTCCTCGAGGGACTACAGATGGTAAGTGGCAGGCATAAATAAGACAATGAAAGTAGAGAGTCAGTGGTAAGTGTCATGAAAACAAGGGCCTGATACAGTGCTTAGGAGGGAGGAATTAGGGAGGGCTTCCTACAGGAGACAGCCTTGGAGAAGGAACAGCATTTGAGCTGGTGAAGAGCAGGTTCTCTGAGCAGCATTTGAGCAGGAGATGGAAGGGAGGGCAATGCAGGTCGAGGGACCAGACTGGAGAGGCAGGGAGTTTGAGGTCTGTGCTCCAGTGCACCTGCTAAGGACTGGTTGAGGTGGTCACAGGCACCGATGCCCTAAGCAACTACTGTGTGCTAGCTGCAGGGTAGTGCTTTGCAGGCATCTCTTTCGAGATGCAATCCTATTATTATCCTGTTACAGTGGAGAAGCCCAGGCTTGGAGAAATTATCCAAATTAACTTGCCTGAAGCTATACAGCTTCTTATGGAAATTCAATTCCAGGTCTGAGACTCCCAAGCCCTGGCTCTTAACTTGCCTTATCTAGTCAAAGTAGCAGGAGAATGGCTTCAATAGATGGTTGAGGCCAGTTCTGAAGAAGGCTCTGATTGCCACAGAAATGGAGCTAGATTTTACAACAAAGAAATGGCATAAAATGAAATGGCAATTCCATGTCAGTAGGGAGCCACAGAATGCTCCTGAGTAGGGCATGTGCCTTGAGAAGGTAAATATGGCAATGGTTTTAGAAGACAGCTGGAACATCACAGAGAGGCTGAAGGTGAGAGAACAGGCTGGTGGCTGTGGCAATAGGCCAAGGGAGAGAGCCTGCAATGTGGGGGGAGGGGAGCATTCATGCCCTTCATGGGCCTCAGTTTCCCCATCTGAAAGCTGACGGAGTTGGACCAAGATCTAAACCTTGCTCCCACAGTCTCATCCGCGTGAATGTCTCCCTAGTCCTGAGACCTCAGCCACCCCAATGGGCTATTAACCTGTGGAGCAGGTTTATTCAAAGGAATTGGAGGCTGAGCCTTCCATGGAAGGATGATGTGTAATCCTCCTAATGAAAATGCTGATATTTAAAACCCTCCTCATGAAAATGCAAAGAGAAAAGGAAAAAAAAAACAACGTCTTGGCCTCAGTCAAATGATACTGATCACTCAGAACTGATTAATATTGTCTTTAGGAATCAGAGACTGATTGAAGCCCAACAGCCTCTCTCTCATCTTTCCCATTGTCACCGCCCCCTACTTAGAAGAAACTGAAGTCTCAGTCCCAGCCTCAGCAACCCCACTTCCCCACATGAGTCGGGGTACCATCCAAGTGGAGAGACAGAGGCAGCCAGGTTTCCACTGACCTGAACTGCTTGGCTGGACAGTCACAGGTCCCAATTCTAGGACTGGGACCTCAGAAACCTGTGTGAAAGCTAAGATCTCACCCACCCCCCTGTTCCCCAGAGATGTCTTTTGTCCCTCACACTTACCCTGTTCATTCACTCAACAAAATATATTGAGCACCTACTAAATGCCATGCACTGAGCTGGGTGCCAGGATGCAGTGGTGGGTTAAGCAGACATAGCTCTGGACCTCATGGGAATGGACAACATACAAACAAGTGTAAGGAAGTGAGTAGACTGGAATTAGCGCTCTGAAGAAAACACAGCAAAGATTCGTGATGGTTGTAGCGGGGAGTCCACTTTGGGAAATGGTGGAGGGCTTCACACAGGAGGTGATGATTAAACTAAGATCTGAAGGGTAAGAAGGATCCACTCTTGCAAAGAATCAGGGGAAAGAGCTTTCCTGGAAGAGAGAACAGCATGTGCACAAGCGCTGCAGTAGGACTTGGCAGGTCTGAGGAACTAAAAGAAGTCTGGAATGGCCAGAGCTTGAAAGCCAAGGTGAGAGCAGCCAGGGATTAGGTCAGGGAGGCAGGCAGGTGCAAATGCTGTAGTCTTATAGACCTCAGGAAGGAATGTGGGGTTTATCCTACATATGATGGGAAACCATAGGAAAATTCTAAGCCAATTCTTCTGACATCCAGCCCAGCTCAGCCCTGCTTGTGTGAAACTGGAACATTCCTCACAGTCTCTGTACCTTGGTTTCCTCATCTACATGTGCGGTCTCTAACTGTCCAGTTTGTCCATTCTCGAATGCTGGAGGCTCAGAAGTGGGGGAAGAAGGGGCTAGCCAGGATTGGTGGCAGGCCGAAGACCTGGTGGCCAGTGCCAGTGGGGATTGGGAGGGCAGTGGCATGCACTGATCCTCCTTCAGCTGTCCTGGACAGCAGCATTGCACAGGAACTGCCCCTAGAAACCCTGTGCCTTCATTGCCCAGAAGGAGAATCTGAGGCCAAAGACAGGAGGGGCTTGGCCTCTCTTTCAGGAAGAGTCAACAGTTTCAACCCAATTCTGCCCCCACTTCAGGAGCACCGGATAGAGAGGCAGCACCTTCTAGCTTCAAGGTCAGGGTTCCTACATCCTCTGCAGAAGGGGGCTAACCTGGCTCCTAGGCAGTCCCTTTCCTGGAGCCTTGGGAACCCCCAGACCTCCTTCTACTTTTCCCTCTACTCTCAGAGAGCAAGGGGGGAAATGCTTTTTTGCGTGCGGCAGACTCATCTGCCTGCAGACAACAGTTTTCAAGCGACTTTTGAGACCAGAGGATGAGCCAGGTTCAGCAGCTCTTGTGCCCAGAGGCACGAGGTGATTTGTACAGAAGATCCTGCAGGATCCCCCAGTCCTCTGACCCCCATTGACACACTCCTTTTCCCTTACACAGTGATGGCCTCTCTCCAAGTCCCTACCCATGGGGAACCTCCCCATTCATCTCCAAAGTCACCGGATGAGCAGGAAGCAGCAAGTGGAACAGAGGAGCAGAAACGCAGGCTTCCTTCTCCAGAGCCTCACAGACTGGGAACTGCAGGATCCTGAGCACTGGTGCTGCCACCACCTCCTCTCATATAATACAGGGTTCTTAACCCCGGATTTATGGATAAAGCTTCTAGGAGCCTCCAGAACCCCTGAAATTGCCCAATGATGCAAAATTTTTTTCCCTAGGAAAAAGATTTGTACCTTTCAGCAGATTTTTCAAAGAAGTCCTTTTGTAACTTAAACAAGAGTACAAACCACTGCATAACCTCCCTTCTCTCTAATTTCACAGATGGTAGAACTGAAACCCAGAAAAGATGACTGATTTAAGAGGGGCTGTTGTATAGAGAATTAGAGCACAGACTTAGTGGTTAGTCCTCCTGGGTTCAAATCCCGGACCCACTAGTTATGGGTTATATGTCCTTGGGCAAGTACTAAAAGTCTCTATGCCATAGTTTCTTCATCTTAAAATGGGGGTGATAATAGTACCCACAATGATGTTTTAAGAGTTAAAGGAGTTAATGCATGCAAGATCTTACTTAGGTCATGCCTGGTCCGTTAGTAAGTGTTCCAAAACATTAGCTGTTATTTAATCAAGGCCACAGAAGCAAGCGGCAGAGTCTGGTTCCCTGTACCTCCCTGGAGGCAGATAGGAGGTTCTATATCCCTGGGACTTCCAAGAAGGGTATATGATTATGGCCAGAACCTGTAGCTCCTGATCAAGGCCAAGCCAGCATCTGCCCCAAGGCAAGCTGAGGGTGTGTGGGGAGACGGGGGTGAAGAGTGTGAGGAGGTGGGGGAAGTCCCAGGCTTATTCCCAGCTGGGGGAAGGGGAGGAGGGGCTGGACATCAAAGGGTGGGCAGGCCAGCTTCCCGCCCCCAAGCCTAGGTGGCCTTTGTCAGGACAGGCCGGACACAGTCGGGACAATGGAACATCGTGTTCACTTTCCGGCCAACAGGAGTCACTACCGAGCTAAGGCAGAGCCAGTTACATGACAAAGGGGGGACCCATAACGGAGGTCAAGCCGCCCCTCATTAAAGTTGGGCCCTTTGTCCTGCCCCCTCCCCTGCCTTTGAAGAGGGCGGATCAGAGAGGCCTGCCTGGGGGCAGGAGGTTCACAGGCTCAGGAGCCAAACAGTAGCCCCCTTCCCACTGCTCCCGCTTCCCCTCCCCCGGGGTCAAGAGTTCAGGGAGGACCCTGGGAAGGTAAGGTACAGATCCCTTGCCGCAGTCTGGCCAAAGAGGGCTCTTTTTCAGCCTGAAGGATATGACCCAGCAATCCTTCTTGACTGTATGATGGGGAGACCCAGCCCTGGCCAGGAAAGTCACCTGCCCTGTTCACGGTTAACGAATCGTCCCTTCTGGGGCGAACTTGCCGCCTTTGCCTAGGGTTGGGTTAGGAGTGGAAGAAGCAGATGAAGAGCAAGGAGTCGGTGTTGCTAAATGAGCGTAGGACACCAGTCTGGGAGCCTGCGTTCTAGTTCGGGCCTTGCTCCGCGGCCGCAGGCGCATTTCCGCACTTCGCAAGGGATCTGGGTTTCCCTATCTGTACAGAGAGAGGGTTAGGCTGAGCTGCTGAAGGCTCCGACAGCCTGAGACTCAGGAGAGGGAGCTCAAAGAGCAGCCCCCTGGGGCGAGAGTGGACAGGAGGGCCACACTCCCGGGAACCCGAGCAGGGCCGGAGCAGAGGTCAGACACGGGGTGGCCTGGGTCGCGCCCGAGCACCTGCAGGTCCAGAGGTGCAGGGCGAGGAAGGGGTCCTTACCGCTGCCACTGCCGCCTCCGGCCGCCACGCTGCGCCGCATCCACTCGTAGGG